GACAAATACGAATGTAGCTCGTAGTGGGAGCTACCATTCATTAGTCCATACGACAGGTGATTGTATTTTACATTCAATTTTAACAATATAAAGGAAGGAGATGGTCCGGGGTCATAAATAGGCTAAATAGTGGCGAAACTATTTTATTAAAAGCCAACGTTTCGACCCGACTTTGCAGGTCTTTTTCAGGGCTAAAACGGACAAGATACAAAAAGATATAGAGAATTGAGGTAGATACATAGTATTTAGACAAAATTATAAACAATGTGAATAAGCTTATTAAAATTATAAACAGTAAGTACACTAAAATGTAAACAGAGTAAACTAAGTAACAAGATCCTTAACTGAAGTAAATAGTTGGTAACAATTGTTGTAGTGAATATATAATATATGCAAATGTGAATATATTTCTACAGATCAACAGGAGAGATTGAGAGAAAAGGAAAAAGGATATAACATGAAATAATCGACATAAAAGAATGTGGAGAAAGAAAAGAAAAAAGAAAATTAAATAAATAAGTAAATAAAATTAGATGAATAAAAATAGAGACTTACAGGTGTGTTGAGCTAGGAGTTTCACTTAGAACTGGAAAATCAGAGTAAGGGTAGGTATTGGGGAAATTTGTTGACCTGTTTGGGTAATGGGAAAAAACCTAGAAAATTACAGTATCTAAAATTTAAAGATATGGATGGATACAAGAGAAAAATACTATATCTATGAAATAATAAATTATAAATATATACTAATACATATAAAATAGAATTAAGAAATTATAGATAAGAGTACAATGTGAATAAAAACAAAAATGGAAGAAGTAAAACGTACGTAGAAGTAAAATATAAATATAGAAATAAGATACCATACATTGCAGAACTAATTTAGAAGTATATAGAGAAAAAAATATATGAATAATTATAATTATATTTGGTTGTACATATTTAAGAAAATTACATTTAAATATTAGATAATATTGAGACATGGTTAAAAAGTAAAATGAATACAAGGTGAAAATGGATGATCATACATTGATGTAAATATAAAATAAAAGAAAGATCATACAAAGCGGAAATACTTAGAATAATGAACGATTAAATTGGATTAATCTATTTAAAATAGATAAAAATAATACGATGTAATAAATAAGATATTTTTCACTTATAAGATTTAAAATGTGTCTATATTTTAAAGAAATGCAGTTTTTATCTACTTTATGATTAAGTTGGCTATAGTCGATTTAAGGAATTTTCGTATATTATCTGAGAGAATAGGAATATAGGAGAGAGATTTGTATATGAAAGGAGTGGTAGGTGATTGTGGGGAGTTGAGAGAAGGGGATGTTGTACTCTTTTTGGTTTTATAGCAGTTTAAAAGTTTGAGTATAGTGTTGAGAGGGAAATTACTCGAAAGGAGTATATTTTTGATACGCTGAGTGTTGACTTGGTGATATTGTGGATCAGATAAAGAGAGAGATCGGTGAATAAGGTTTTTGGCGGTATTGATTTTTTGGTGATATGGGTGTTGAGAATAAAAGTTAAGTAGTCTATCTGAGTACGTGGGTTTAATGTACTAGTCAGTAGAAACATAGCCGTCATCATTTTCATCAAAAAATATGTCGATGACCTTCTCCTTGTTCTTAACCCTGACAGCATTCCTCAAATTCTTTCCTCATTCAACTTTTACCCCCCCCCCCCCGTCATTGTTTCACCATAGAGAAAGACATTAACAATTCATTCTCCTTCTTAGGCCTCATAATAATAAAAAACACTGACGGCTATGTTTCTACTGACTGGTACATTAAACCCACGTATTCAGGCAGACTACTCAACTTTTATTCTCAACACCCATATCACCAAAAAATCAATACCGCCTAAAACCTTATTCACCGATCTCTTTCTTTATCTGATCCACAATACCACCAAGCCAACACTCAGCCAGCCCGAAAGCTTTTTTTTCACAAAAATGACGATAATTACTTTGGAAAAAAAGAAAGAAACTAATTATCTATATGAAATGGTGTTTAAGTGATTTCTTAAGTCCTTTTAAATGTAATTACACGAACAATAATACTTTAACAGATCATTTTTTAAATATATTTTTCCACAAAACATGGTTATATTTTACCATTTTGGGGGAGCTTCAGCGCGAAAGGCCCCTCCCCCCAGAGATCCGCCCGTGCCCCGGACCATCTCCTTCCTTTATATTGCAACGGTCATCTATTAAATATTCAATAAATAATATAAAGTTAACTCGATCCATATGCAAATATGTTTTTTTGTAAATTAAACAAAACAAAAATACTTACTAATCATAATTTACTATTTATAATTTTGTGAAAAAAAAATAATGAAAATAAAAGTAATGGACTGAACAGATGGTAATATCGGTAAATAAGATTTATAATTTCGGATCGATTGTTATCAATCGGTAACGGGCTAACCAATAAGACAATACTGAAACCTATATGGATATAAGGACTAGAACTGTGGGGGATAGCAAAATTGTCTAACATCAAACGCATCCAATCCTTTCAATCTAAAGTCCTTTGAACAATAGTTGATGCTCCATTCTATGTAACCAATAAAACCCTACACCATGACCTTAATATCCCATCCTAGTCCTAGACCTTATCCCAGATTTTTTTTTTAATTTCATCAGAACCTTAGAAATCATCCAAATCCTCTTGCACAATCCGTATCTAGCTCCACCCATCCTTACAATCCTCTTGGAAGGTTGAAGCAGCAGTGACCTAAAGACCTTTTGTGAATAAGTATATATGGTAGTTTCGGGAATGGCCAGATTCTCCACTTAAGCCATATATGTGTGATTACAGCGCCTTGACTACTTAGCCTCTACTGGTTCTTAGTACCAGTTATGCGGCTGAGTAAGAGGCACTGGAATCTCCTAGAGTCCTGCCTTTCCTTCCACGAGTGGGGAGAAGAGCTTGGCTGGAAGTTCTCCTGAACGAATGGATACTGTAAATGGTTTGTGTCAGTGCTATTATAACCCATCCTCGCGTTACGGTGAGTAGTGTCAACAGATGTGATATGATATAAAAAATAAGAGATTTGAGCCGGCCGAGCGACGAGACGCTTTAAGTCCATTCCCTTCGCGTAGACAACACCTAGACCTGACTAGAGGGCCCTCTCAGTAAGTAAGATATCTATGCCAGCATAAAAGGGTGAGTTTTGTTTTAGACAATTCATATAACCTACCACTTCAAATCAAAATACAGTTCCCTGCCAAAATTAGTCGAATGTTGCATATGTTGAACTCATCAGAGTTATTTGCCTTTACTTTAATTAAATTGGAAAGTTGCCTAAACATTTTGGTCTTCCTGGCCGGATTCTATAGTTTTGTTTGTCGTATTAGCGATGTTTTGCAGCACGTAAAGCAGGAAAATTGTCTGGTAGGTTACGATAGTTTATGTAAAAATCGTCTATTTTCGGCCTTACGTTCATATTTCCCCTATTAATTCGTTTTCTTTTTTAAATATATCTTATGTCGTTTCTTGTTTTGTTGCGTATTTGGAGAAGTCAAGCAGTTTCCAGGAATGAACGCCTAGTGACTTGCTGGAATTAAGTGACTTCGTTAATCCTTGCTTGTTTTGCTGAACATTGCATTTATTTTGAAGAAACTTGGTATTACTTTCAGCAATTAAAATTTAATTTCGAATTTTTACGTTTTTCACAACTTTGAAGATGTCACAGATTAATAATACTGAGAGACTTAAAGATATTAATGATAAAAAGAAAAGGCTGTTTCTTAGAATTCAAACCACTTTCCATAAGATTAAGGGTCCTGCTGCTAGAAAGAAAATTACAGTTCACTGCCAAAATTATTCAAATGTTGCCTATGTTGAACTCATTAGAGTTATTTACCTTTACTTTAATTAAATTGGAAAGTTGCTTAAAGAGTAAATATTGTATAAAAGTATGCTTATGTTTAAAGTTATTTTGATTAGTTTCCTTCTTTTGTTTATATACATTTATTTTTAGTATTATTATTTTTCAGTATTATTTATTGTTAATAGAATGTGAATGTGCTCTTTGAACACTACTATAAATGTCATTAATTGTGACAGATTGAAATATTTTTCAATAAATAAGTTTTAAAAAAAAATAGTTTTAAGTTCACTTAATATTTAATATTATTATTATTTTTATTAAACTCATTTCTAGTGTTGAAATAAAAAAATAAAAAATAAAAAGTTAATCAATTCTCACTCGATAGAAAATTGATTTATGTTTTTCAATATAACATATCTATAATTATGAATGCTCACATTAGTACTATTCTAAAACAACTATAAAGGTAGCTAAAAAGTGGAAAACACGTTGTTTCTCTATCTTGATGCTCAAATGTGGAAAAAAACATTCAAATGACCCATACATGGTTAAAGGAACTTAACACCTTGAGAATAACTACTCTGAAATTAGAACAAAAATTTCAATGACTTAAGCAACAAATAAAAGAGTGGCAACTTGAGAATGGCTTCTGAATGAAACAAGAAGTTAGTGCCCAAGGAACAAGGCCTGGATTTTTATGCAATTCCATATTTTGATTATTTCACATAAATAATAGTAATAATAATAATTAAGAATAATGAATTAAAATGGAACATTGAAGATGACATTTAATAATACAATGGTAAGTTGTTTTTCAATCAACAAATAACAACAAAATACCTTCAGTTATTTCTTCTTAGAATATGCATTTTTTTCATTTCCTGTCCATTGTAGAAAGATTATTTTCTTATTATAGACATATTTAAAAGATAGATTACGTTATCAGAAACAAATTTAAAATTTCATTAATTAATTTTGATTAGATCAAACTGTTCATGTTGTTGATTAATTTTTTTGTAATGCTAGTTTTCTTCTATTATCAATCGTAAATTATACTATTTTAACGATTAATATCTATCTCAATTATTTTTTAAAGTTATAATTGGAAAAATTTCAACCACAAATAATCCTATGGTGTGAAATATAAAAGTTTTATATGATAACAGTGTTATTGTTTTAATAATAGAAACAACAACTTCAAAATTTATTATGTTTATAGTAACGTTAAACATACAATAATATTTTATATTTTCAACTAAATAAACAAATATACAATAATTCATAGATATCTACAACAGTAGTAGTTGTAACTTTTCTATTAACACCCCTTTTATCAGAACTCCATAACAATAACATGATGTTTCTTAATCATCAATAGAACTAGTTTTGAGGTTACTCTTCTAAGAAGCTGTTATTAGAATCAATGCCGGAAGAATAAATTTTTCCTCCTTTCTTCACATAAACATTTTTGGCCTTATCAGCAAAGCTGCTTTGATTGTTATCTATTCCAGAATAACCATTGGGATTCATCTGCTGCCACCTCCACATATCCTCACCTAAAAGTACAAGTACCATGCAATTACTGCTTGTTCAGAATCAGTTAATAGAATGGTCAACATAAAATAAAAATATTGATGAAAATGGTTTACAAAAAAATATACAAGGTGTCCAATATAAATTAGCTAAAATACTCCTCATTGCCAATAATAATATATATATATATATATATATATATATATATATATATATATATATATATATATATATATACAATAAAATATAATTAGTCTAAATTACATATAATGGGTAGTTGCCGGGTTGTTTAATATAACTCATGTGTCACTAATAAAAATTTACTTATTTCCTTTATTTTGTTCAGAGGTTGGGCCAAATCATAAAAAAATAGAAAATTTTAATATTGAATGCTTCATTCCCTCTCCACAAAGAAAGATGGAAAGGGCGAAGCTGTATGTTCTTCTTGGTAACCAGGACTAATTATTAGTTTTTAGTATCAAAATGAGGGAAAACGCGAAACTGAAGCCAAAAATAGGAAAAATACATTAAACGAACTTTCCAAGGAAGAAATTTCCAAAATCTTGGAAAAGAAAACAAGGATCAATATTAATTATATGGCTTACAAATATACAGTAGACAGATGAACGGAATATTTCAAGGAGCTGCTAAAAGGGGGTCAAATGCTGGGGCAGTTTGAATGATATTAAAGGGATGATGGAGGTTTATTATGGTGAAGACCATTTTATTTTAGATTGCTACTCAAGTTGCACATTGAGACCATCTTCACTTTGAAACAGGTTATAGAGAGATCCATCGAGAAAGGGAAGTAGCTCTACTACTGTTCATTGAATTTGGAAAAGATCTTTGACATGATCAGAAAGGAAAACATACGAGCTTTTCTGAAGCCATTTTGGGGCAGTGCGTTCACTTTTTTTCGTTGGAACATTGGGTTTTTTAAAATAAATTGTTACAAAAAACAGGAACTGCAATTTATAGGGATGTGGGGGAGGGGAGGGGTTCACAGTAAGGAGGTCTGGCCCACAGACTATAAGAGATATAAATGAATCATTTGCTTTAAAAATAATTAAACTCTGCATGAATAATGATTGAACAGACTCCTTCCCAAAATTAAACAGTGAGAAAAAAAAAAAGAACTTCGAAATTATTAGCACCCTCTGAAATAAAATTCTGGCTACGGGCCTAGCAATAACAAACTTTTAAGAATGTTGGAGCCAATTTAAAAGGTAACTGTTTTTTTTTCATGGACAACTATGTGTTGCCTTATATCAAGTTGGGGGTCTTAAATCGCTGCTTCATTCTGATTAAATAGAATTAAACCTTAATAGTATTAACTATTATATTATACCAGCATATATGAACTACAATAAATTGGTAAATGATTTACATGAACTTTATAATGCAATTGCTAAAGGGATAATAATTAATTTTTCAAGGAATTACAATATTTTTAGTTATAAAACAATTAAAAGTTTTCAAAAAGCAGCGATGGTTTGACAGTGGCTAACAAACTGTTAAAGTAAAATTCTCTGACTTTCCCTATTTGATGAAAGTTTTCACTGAACAATATGTCTAAGGGGACACAAATGTTAAAAATTTATGGTTTATAACTAATTCATTTATTATACATGATTGAAAATGGAAAGATTAGAGTAAAAAAAAGTCTGTTCAGTCTTTTAAATGACAAATATAATGTTCTAAAGGAAGCATTCTTTAAATTTGATTAGGATTTTTATTTTCAATTACCTATTTATGCGTGACATGTACTATCATGTTTTATTACTTTGCACATTTTAGTTTTATTTCTGTTTTTGCCCTTTTTTATTTTTATTTTCAAGGGTACAATTTTTTTTTTTTTTTTATTTAATATATTTTGATAATAATTTTATTTTTGTTTATAAGAACAGTCCAAGTTTGACAGGTTTAGACATTTTAATTTACACAAATATTGTTTTTTTCACTGTAGACGTAGATCCTTCGTTTACTAAATTGTATATTTTCTACTCTTCAACATTAATAATATCTAAAAAATTTGTATTCTTTATTTCTTGTTTATACTCATACATTTTTATACTTATGGTTCTTCTTAATAGAGGTGTCATCAACAATTATGTACTCTGGGTTCATAGTAGCTTCAACCACTGTAGAAATATTTCTACCCCAAGCCCTTCCAGTCTGTTTACCAAGCCAACCCTCCTTCTCCCTTGACTAATATCCTTTTAACCTGTCACGTTAACACTCAATCACTCCTAGCCAGTTTTGATGAATTTTATGATTTTTTTCTCCACAACTTCTACCATGGGAAAAGCTGGTTAAAACCCTCAATTCCGTCTTTCCAAATTACTTTACCCAATTATACCCTCCTTCGTCATGACAGAGCGAATCGTACAGGTGATGATGTAGGTCTCTTTGTCCATGACAGCCTTTAATTCAAAATTCTCCATTGCTCTTCCCATACCGATTCTCCACACCTAGAACATCTTTTTACTGAAATCCTCACCCCATCATCCCCCCCCCCTTCTCTTTGCAGTCATTTATCACTCTCCCAGAATTCCCTTTGATGAATTATTTGAGACTTCCCTTTACAACTTTATCCCTTCCTACTGCAATATTATCCTTTCCGGAGACTTCAATACCAATTTAATGATAGCATCCTCTGACCATTATATTGACTAGCTTCCTCCAATCCCTCAGTCTTTATATAGTAGCCTAAAACCCTTCCCATCATACCCAATCCTCACAGTCCTGGCTTGATTTGTTAGTCCTGGATTTCCTGGATAAACTCTTTGCAGCATCTCAGCACCCGGTTCCGTTTCTGCCTTCTCAAGATCTTATCCAGATTTCCTACAACATCCCGGTCCCATTTTTTTCTACTCGAACCATATCCTTCCGAAACCTCAATTCCATCACCAATGAAGCCCTGTCCCAATTTATTCCTTAAAATCCATTGATGCCATGGTAGAAATCCTTACCAACCATCTTCATGCCATCCTTGACTGCCATGCTCCTCTCCTAACTACAGCCATCCGACATCTCTCTGCTCCTTGGCTGACACCTCTCAGAGCAGGTGTCAGCCAAGGAGCAGAGAGATGCTGCAAGACGGCAATTTAAACTCCCGGAAGGCTACATCGCCTTCAAGCAACTTCGAAACAGCACTTAGTTTGCTATACGCCGAGCCAAATCCTGTTATTTCCATCATTCCTTATCAAACACCCCAAAAGGCCAAGTGGGCTATCTTAAAAAAACTGACCATTTGCAACACACCTTAAACCCTGTTCATTTCCTATTCTGCTGATGACCTTAACGCTCACTTTGTCTCCTGTCCCTTCTCATCCCCATCTCCTACCGGATCCTAAGTATTCTCCTTTTAATTTTAATCCTGGTCACTTTATTTTCCCTTACATTACCCCTGATCACCTCCTCAACTCCATTCAGAAATCACATACCAATGATTATGGATCCGATAACATCCCAGTCTGACTGATCAAAGCCTCACTACCATCCATCCTTCCAATCATCTACCATATCTACAATTACTCACTACAAAACACTACCTTTCCTACATCCTGGAAAACCGCACTAGTTCGTCCTATGAAGAAGACTTCCAACCCAACAAACCTTAATGATTTCCGTCCAATTTCTATCCTCTCCAACCTTTCCAAACCTTTAGAGCAACTTATTCAAACCCAGTTATCTGACTATTTAGAATAGAATAACCTCCTAAATCCCAACCAGTCCGGTTTCCTGCCTGGCTACTCCACTCAGTCTGTCATCAAAATTTCCCAAGACCTTCATACAGCCATGGACTAGCAGAAACTCAGCATCCTTATTCTCCTTGATTTCTCTAAAGCCTTTGACATAGTAGACCACAAAATTCTTCTAACCAAGCTTAAAAATATCTCCTTTTCTACCAGTGCCCTTAATTGGTTCCAATCCTTCCTTACCGGCTGCTCCCAGTATGTTGTAGTCCCCAATAATCCACCATCAGAATCTTTACCCTTGTCCAGAGTTCTCACACAAGGCTCCTCCTTATCTCCCACCCTTTTTTCCCATCTACATCAATAACCTCCCATGCTCTATTTTACACTGTCAATACCATCTGTATGCCGACGACGTCCAGATTTACTTTTCCTTCAATCCGATCGAATCCTCTGATGCCATCCAAAAGTTACAGGAAGATATAACTGGAATTTGTACCTGGGCAAACCACAATAGGATTACTCTAAATGCCAAGAAGAAGAAAGCCATCTTGATCGGATCTCCCTCACTCCTCAAATCCTTACTGACACTCCTCAATCTTTTCCTGAACAACTCACCTATCTCATTCCATACTTCCGTAAAAAACCTTGATGTTACCTTTGATCAAACCCTCTCCTGGAAACCACACATCTCCCAAATTTCCCGTCGTACTATCTCCACCCTGAAACAGTTTAACCGTATCCGATATCTTCTTCCATATAAATCCGGCCAATTCCTGGTTTCCTCTCTTGTGATCTCCCACTTCGACTATGGCTCTCTGGTGTACAGCGGACTTTCAGGAGAAATCGAGGCCAAACTTAAACACCTAATGAATTGCGCAATAAGTTTTGTTTTTGGAATCTCAAGAGATACACATATTATAACTTTTTCCTTAAAATTGGCTAACCGGATGTGCTGAAACACATTTTTATAATTTTCTCAAAAACGGCTCTAATGATTTTGATTTAACTCAGTGGAGCATTATATAATTAAGTGGTCTTTAATCTAATTTCGGTATTATTCCCATGTAATTTTACAGAGCTTAAATGCCCAATGTTCGTATGCGTCTTCCTCTAAAGTACCTTTAATATGGTTTATTTAAAAAAAATTAACTCTCTTTTATTGACAGTAACTATAAAAAATGGCTAAATATGAAGTTTGAAAGAATATGATAATTGGAAACTAGAGAAAAAAATAAAAATTCTTATCCAAGTTGAAAATGAATCCCGGAAATAACAGTCAGAATGTATAAGTACAATATATCATTGGATAGCAGAGAATTTTAGAAGAAATAACATTAAATGAATAAAGTAGTAGAAGATAACCCAGAGTGATGAAAAAAATATAAATAATAATTTCCGAAAACTAACATTATTTAAAGTAAATTACATGTTTTAAATGAAATTTTCTTACTAAATGTAAACTTTAATTTTTTTTCTAAGTTTGAAAAAAAAAAAATTTAAATCCACCGAATCATGCCAATGGCATTGTTTAAAATACTATTTAATTGTACTTGTGTGAAAGAAGGAGTGAAATATAAAAATATGTTTATAAACTTGAATACTTTTGCTGTACTTTAATAACTCTAGACATATTATATTTAAATAATTAGGTATTTATTGGCCGTTTATTCCAAAAAATCATTAAGTAACCTTTTAGGGAATTAAATTAGTGAATAATTTGATGAATTTTCCCTTTAAAAAAAACTATTAAAAATTAAAAAAAAAAAAAACCAAGACATTTTGGATTAATACATGTTCTTTTAAGGGGTACCACGGGTCGAAAAAATGAGGGCTTGCCAGCTAATGAATTGCTAAAACCATAGCCACATGCTTTAAATAAAAATATAATATAAATAATATATAGGTATTTATCGTTTGCCAATATTAACTGTTAAAAACCAAAAGGCAACTCAACCGTTCTTGAACTAGCTGTAAAATTAAGTTTTCGAAACAATACTATTCATCGACAATTGGATATCTCTTAACTAAATTCTTTTTAAATTCTAAATCACTTCCAGAGACATTCGCAGTGTTGACCGAGGTCATGGTTTTTCAATTATAATTTTTTTGGAATTAATAATTAATATGTGAAATAAAGGTAGTAATTAATAATGATTTTATCTCTCAAAAAATTAATGGGAGAACATTAAAAATATATATTAAAATAAGATGGGTGCGGACAATTAAAATATTGAAAGACTCATAATAATTATGGCTGCAGCTTGCAATAAAAATTTTTAACTTTAAATTACAATATAGTATATAAGGGTTGTAACGATGTATCGGCTTTAACAACGAAAACGCCATGTCCGATGATTCAGATGGCTTTTGGAACATAATTTTGAATGGATACAGCGATTGGATTTACTGACTCGATTTCTTATAGTTGTTATAAAAAATTATTAGTTCTGTTAGGTCCAACAGGAATGTTTTCTGGTGGAATCATGAACTTAGCAAGCTAAGAGCTTTAACTAGAAAACTCTTTAATGCTGCCAAAAGTAAGGGCAGATAGGATACCTATAAGCGCGCTCTCACTGAATACAATACTGCAATATGCTGAGCAAAAAGGGGGGCATAGAGAAGCTTTTGTAGTGATATAAATGACACCCATGTCCAGAGTTTATAAAATTTTATCGAAGCAGACGGATGGATCAGTCATTGGCATGATCAGGGTTGAAGGAGGTCTCACCTATTCTGGAGAAGATACTCTGGAAGCTCTGGCACATATTCATTTTCCTGACTCCCTAATGCTGGATGAGTATAGAGCTAATCCAGCTATGGATAATCACACTTGCAAAGATAAGTGGGCTGAAGCCAATAGAGTTGTAAGTTCTAGGTTGAATGGGAATTAGTTCTTTTGCATCGTTCAAATCAGCTGTATTGATGGGATTTATCTGGTCCTTTTGCAAAAAGGCTTACCTGTGATTAAACCCTACCTTCTGGAATTATTTAGGGGCAGTTTACCACTTTCATATATCCCTAATAGAGGGAGGCAAGAGTTTGTTATATATCTAAGCCTGGGAAAGAGTCTTATGACAATCGCAAAGCAAGCAGACCTCATGTCTGACTTCTTTCCTGTTAAAAGTACTGGAAAAGATTATGGATAGACACATTAGGGATTCTACGTTAGTAGGAAGACCGCTTCACAATTTGCTAATGAAGCCGACAAATCATGTGAGTCAGCATTACATCATTTGGCCTCTAGAATTGAGAAAAGTTTATTGCAGAAACAGATTATAGTGGACATATTTGTCGACATTGAAGGTGCCTTTGATCGTACTCTCTATGATAAAATGGCTAAGGCATTGGCTAGGGTTGGACTCTTGGCTTCGGAGAGGGGTTGGACCCTTGGCTTCAGAATGGATTAATTTGGTTTTAAGGAAGAGAGTCCTTAAATCTGAGTTAGGACAATCCGTACTGAGTGTTAAACCTGTTGGAGGGTGTCCACAGGGGGTGTGTTATCTCTACTTTTGTGGTGCATAGTGCATCGACTCTCTGATTGCCAAACTAAATGAGCCGGGTTCTATTCCCACGGTTACGCTAACGATATCAATGTATTGATAGGGAACAAATAATTTCTGGAACAAATTTCCCTGGAACAATCTTTGGGCTGCTCGCAAATATGATGAAATTTCTAAAAGAATGGTGCCAGGAAAATGGGCTTGGCATAAATCCACAGAAGATTAATCTTTGTATCTTTACTAACAGAAGGAATGTCAACATTAGACCACCATCATTAAGTGGGTCATCATTAATTATCTGAAGTGAAGTAAAGCATCTTGGGATTACTCTAGATAGTAAGTTGAATAAACTAAGTCATATTGAAAAGATTAGTAGTAAGGCTCTACGCTGTCTACGGGTATGCAGAAGAGTTGTTGGCAAATCGTGGGGGCTAAAACCCAGAATGGCCCTATGGCTAAATAGGACAACAATTAGATCTTTAATCCTCTATGTGACTGTGGTGGCATAGGGCTGCTGCAAGCAAGCAAGCCTAAAGTGCTGTTTGGAAAACTTTAGAGGCTTGTGTGCCTTATGACTACTTGAGCTATGAGCACTACTCCCACTGCTGCAGTGGAAGTTCTCTTGAACCTAACATCATTGCATATAGAGGTGGAAGCACATGCTGTTAGCACTGCTTATAGAATGGATAAATTGGGAACGATATCAAAATTCTTGACATTTCAGGAACATGCGATCGTTTCTGATAGGATTAATAGCAACAATGTGCTAACGATGAAACTCAGACCTTCAAGTTGATAAAAATAGAGACATACTCTATAGTGCGATGATAGGCAGCAATAACTTTCACAAACCGTGTAATGTAGTTAACTGTTATACCGACGGATCCTTGATGGAGCAAGGATCAGGAAGCTGGCGTCTGGAAGGAAGATAAAACTAATGAGGGAATATTCATATCTCTAGGTAGACATACGTCCGTCTTCCAGGCCGAGATTCTAGCTATCAATATCTGTGCTCGATTACTAATAAATTACGAATAGATTGATTACAATATATACGGAATGTCAAGCAGCAATTGGTGCCCTGAATAGTTATGCAACCTGCTCCAAGTTGGTAGATGAGTATAAAGGCAATCTGAACTTTCTCTGTAGTACCAATAAGGTGAGGATTGAATGGTTGCCAGGGCACTCAGGCATTCCAGGTAATGAGAAAGCTGATTGCCTTGCTAGGAAGGGCTCTGCACAAGTGCCAGTTTCACTTGAGCCCATCTGTGGGATTAGCCTCAGCTGTGCCAAAAGGCATATTAAGGCAGGTGTTGGTAATAAATCTAGGCTATATTGGGAACAGAGGAAATAGGCTTACTCTCAGTTGTTCCTATAAGGACCCTGTCACAAGAGAAGTGTATCACTTCTTCTAATGGATAGGAGCACCATTAGGTGTGTGACAGGACTGTATACTGGTCACAGTTGATTCAATAAGCACCTCTTTAACTTGGGCTTAAGTGAGACTCCCACCTGCAGGCTATGTGGCTTGGTGAATGAAACAGCCTATCATATTATTTGGAGATGTGATAATTTGACTAGACTGTGATACTTTCACTTTGGATGTGATCTTATCATTGACCCTAAGCATTGCAAACTAATAGATCCCATTAGTATTAAAAAATTCGCAAAGGCATCTGGCCTATTTTAATAGAGTTTTAGGATGACGCACAATAGACCTTTATGAGGCCATGGTGCATCCTTACGTTGGGGGAAAAAAACAGAGGGGTACGGCTAATTATAAATATTAATATCACCAGACAAATATAAACCCCATGCCAAAGTAAAAAACCTGGAATGTCCAAATAAATGGTAGGCCTTATGATAAGAAAACTAACTAGAAATAGGTTTAAAATGAATTTGGCATGACTTGTTATACCATTCATAGAGATGTTAAAAATAAATATAACAATGCACATAACAAATTATTAAAAGACAATAAATTTCTACAATGACTTACTAATTCAAACTTACACATATCTTTTAAAGATTTCTTTGCTTTCCATTGAAGCTCATGATTAGCAAGCTTGCAGTTACAATAGCATTCAGCAACATCTCCTGATCTTCTTTGAACAATTTTATAGGGGATTACTTTTCCAGAAGCTTCTTCAAATGCCTTAATCATCTATTAAAAAATATGAAATAAATAATAATAAAAAAAAAAGAGTCAAGAAGAATAATCAAGTGTACACAAGACGAAAATTATAAACAGATAATTAAAAATGTTCATTAAACAGACTATTAAACTTATAAGTACTATATACTATTCCAGTCAAATTACGCAATTATGCATACAAAGGGTTGATAAGTTCAAATTTTTTAACAGATCCAAGTCAATTGTAAGAAACCAATTTGGGAGCTTCAGAAGACCATCAGTTTTATAACCTATAAACTGTGAAATGTTCACACTTTCAATTTTTAATTAACAACTCTAAAACTACGCATCAGACAGAAATACATATATTCTTTTTCGAAGTTGATAAAATTTTTTATAATTTCTTACCTGCTATAATTTACTTTGAATTTATTCTGCTGTAATGTTCTCATATAATGAATATTTTTCACAATATTTCACAAAATAAAAGTAAAGAAAGAAAGTAAATTTTATTCTGGGACATTTAGTCCCTTCAGAATAACTATAATGAACAAAGAAATGACAATTGTCTGGCAATTATGAATAATTAAATGACAATTAGAAGGAATAAACAAATTTGAGGATTGGGTTCTTGTGTTGAACAAATGAACAGAGGAACAAGGAGTAAAGAAATCAAGAAGGTAAGAAGGTTTTTTGGTTGTAAAGGTTCGGAAAAGGAATACACCTAGGAAATATTAGCGTCTGGAATCTGGAATCTGGAAACTGGATAGAGCCACTTCAACTTGGCATAGCAACTGGAGATGTGGGAGTGCTTGAAGACTCCAAAGATAAATCTAATAAAAGTATTTGACTTTTAAAAGGAAATGGTTTATTTTGAAAGAGGTTGGTCAATCTTGCAAAGTAATGGTTACAGAGAGGAGTGGTACCATTATTGAATGAAAAACTGGATAGAGCCACTTCAACTTGGCATAGCAACTGGAGATGTGGGAGCGCTTGGAGACTCCAAATATAAATCTAATAAAAGTATTTCACTTTTAGAAGGAAATGGTTTATTTTGAAAGAGGTTGGTCAATCTTGCAAAGTAATGGTTACAGAGAGGAGTGGTACCATTATTGAATGAATTTTTATTCCAATAATTTATTCAATAAAATTTTAGTGATCAAAGATTTTTAGAATAAACATCAATTTATTATAAAATTATTAATTAATTATTTCAATTATTTATTATTTTTATCGGATAAAACAATCAATAATCAACTTTTTTAATTTTTTTTTTTTATTGATATAATAATTATGTTATCGGAGCAGCTTCTTACTAAAATACTATCAATTTTAAGATTTCACAATTGTCTATCAAAATGTTTGAGCTTTTTAGGCTATGTCCATTCCTAAGTTATCAGAGGTACTTTTTATAAAAATACTATTGATTTTATGATTTAGCAATCAACTATAGATTTATTTAAACTTTTAAGATTTTTTTAACATTAATGTCAACTAAGGTCCAATATTATGTTATAGGAACCACAATCTTTTTATTAAAACACAATCACTTTTAATAATGCTGCAAATCGTGTTCCAACTGATTTATTGTAATTTTTTTTAGCATTCTTCGATATAAAGGTGCATTATTATGTTTCAGAGTCACTTGTTCAGATGCTACCCATAATCTTTGAATTGATAATATTTTCAAAACTATGCCAATGATAACCCAATAATGAACAAAATTATCTAAGAATACAATAGGTTGAAATAAATTGAGGGTAGACATTTTAGGGTGATAAATTGCGAGATTATTATGCCCATAAAATAAATTGATATGTAAACATGTGATTTTAAAATTGATTTTGTTGTCATTAAAAGTGCCTCTGGTTGCGCATATGCAATTTGAAAGAAAACCAATGAAATCATATTCACTTCTTATCAACCATCCCAGGCAGGATGGACCATAGATTGATTATTCTCAATTTTCTTTCTTTATCTTTTATTGGAGTTAGGTTTTTCCAAACAAAACCAGACTAAGATTTAATGATTATTCTCAATTTTCTTTCTTTATATTTTATTGGAGTTAGGTTTTTTTCTTTCAAAACAAGACCAAACTAAGATTTAATACTATTAGTCCACCAAGTTTGAGACGGGAATTTTAAAGAAAATAAAGGGTGAAGTAAAGTCACTGATGATCGTGGATTAAGAACATAGAGCTGCAGGTCGAGATCCGATTACGAGAAGTGCCCTCATATGCAACAATAAGATGAGCCTGATTTTTCTTATGATTTCCTTTACTTGGACTAAGGACGAATTCATCGTAGTTTGGTATTTTCCTTGTATTTTATGTTATTATTTTTTTATGATAACAGTCCATTTATTATTATTTTTATAATTTTATACCATCCTCTGATAACAACCAAATAGAACCTTATATCAAAGAAATCCTAAAAGTTCAAATAAATATATATGTGACAGCTCAATCTTAAAATCTATAGTATCTTCAAAAATGACTCCTCTATTAATATAAAAATGGACCTGATATCAAAGAAATCCTTTTGCCTAGGTTCAAAAGAAATCTTTCTTTCCAATTAAATAATAATTTTACTATGTTTTAACCCATTGTTTACTACAAGCTCACTGTTGCGCAATCCACACCACAACTCACTGCCTGGGAGCAACAAATTGGTAAGCTCAATCCTCCTAATTATTTTCTGCTTCAGTAGTCTCCAGCCATCTATAAAAGCCTTTCTTGTCATCCCAGTGTTCCTAATAGAATTTCAAAACCAGAAACTGGTGTCCATTTAAAAATACCTTTCACAGTTGAGAAATTATAAGCCTTCAAAGTTTAGATAGGTGAATCACAATTACATTAATTAATTAATATACATTATCCTTGGAAAAATAATTTAGTCTAATAAAATAAAGTAGTTGATTTGTTGATACATAACTCATTTTGCGATTTTCAATTGAATAGTGGAATAATAATTAATACTAAATAAATGTATTTTGTTTTGTAACAATACTCTTAGGCCTATATTACACTAGAAACCATAATTATCGCAGTATATCTCTCTCACTATGAGCTTATAAGGTGTTCTCTCGGATACTTTATAAAAAATTGCTTTATTTTGCTAAGCAGAATATAGGAAAGTACAAGACAGGCATTATGAGAGAAAAGTCAACCATAGACCAGATATTCTCCATCAGAAACATTCTAGAGAAGTGTAAAGAGCATAATATCCACACACATTACCTGTTCATCGGCTTCCGAATGGTCTATGATAGTATAAAAAGAAATGAGCTGTATCAAGATCTTCTAGAAATGGAAATACCACCGAATCTGACACGTCTGATTAGGGCTACAATGAAGAAGGTGTAATGGACAGTCCGTGTTCAGGGTGAACTGACTGATAGCTTTGAAAAACACAAAGAGCTGAGACAGGGTGATTGCCTCCTTTTCAATCTGGCCCTGAAAAGTGCAGTATGAAAATCTGAAATACAAGTTGAGGGGACTATATTAAATAGATCTTCTATAATTCTGGCCTTTACCGATAAGGTAGATATTGTTGGAGGAACCCCTACACATATAGAAAATGCTTTTATCAGTCTCTAGATAGCAGCACTTAGTGGATTTAGAGATTAATGAATCAAAAACCAAATACATCCATGGAGGTCCACAACTGGATGTGCATGAACCATCGCATTTTAAGGCTGGAAGCTATTCATTTGAAAGGGTGAAAAAGTTTGTCTATCTTCGTTCACAAGTTAACACGGATAATGACATACAAGCAGAGATCCCCATCACAGAACTGTGTCTGCAAATAAATGCTTTTTTGGATTACTGAAGAATTTCAGGAGCAGAGCTATCTCTCGACAAACAAAGGAGCAATTATACAAGATTTTGGTTAAGGCCAGTCCTCACATATACCTCCAAATGCTTGACATTACCCAGTTCACAGGAGATTCTTCATCTAATGTTAGAGAAAAGAATATTAAGGAGAATTCATGTCCCAGTTTGCGCAAGTGGAATCTGGAGGATAAGAACGAATGCTGAGCTAACAAGACTCTACAAGAGCATTGACAAGGGTACCCAGACATTGTAAGCATAATTAATGTAGAACAGCTTTGTTGAGCAAGTCATATAATTGGAATGACCCCGAATCTGATTCCTAGGATGGACCTAGATGAAAGGATTTATGAGAGAAGGAGAGTGGAGAGATCTCGGTTCGATTGGATCGATGGAGTGGCAGCGGAATACCAGGTCCAACTTGGGAATCCTCAGTTGGAGAGAGGTGGCAACCAATAGAGAAGACTGGCGGACCAACCTACAAGAGGCTTAGCTCTGCAGGAGTTGTAGCAACACAGATGATGATGATGATTACACTAGACAACCAGTTCGACAACCAAGTAGTTTTACAAGGAAGGTGACCAGTCTCTAAGGTGCTAAAATTTAAAAAAGATCTGCACAGTGGGACAAAATTTCTATTAAAAGGAATCAAAATGATATATCAGTTCATTTTCTATATTCGTATAATATTTATAAGAGATCAAATTACATAGTGTATTCTTCAATACATTATCACAATAAAAAAATTAGATGAGTAAAGCGCATAGTTGACTCGTTTTCCTAACATGTATGAATTTCTTTAGTTGTAGAGATAATTAATATTATTTTCATTTTTTCTCTATTTTGAACTCTTTTCTTCTTTTCTGTTATCTCCAATATAATTATATACAAATAATAATTATATACAAAGATATAAGTAAAAAAAATACAAATGCTTATATTAACTAGCACAGATCGACAAATGCCGAGGAGAGTACTGAGTCCAGAGTATTTTATTCAATTATTGACCTCCCCGATTTAGAATATTTTCTTCAAATATTCAACTTGCTTGATTCTGAGTATTTTATTCAAATGTTGAACTGCCCAACTTTGAGTATTTTACTCAAATAGCTGACCTTCGAATGATTAACTTAGGGCCTATTATAAATTATAGTTTCAAGTACTAGATGCCCATAGCTAAATATATAAATTATATTGA